AACAATTATTTTTCACACTTATCCCAAATATATATGATCCAATCCTAACCAAGTTTAACCTCTATCATGGAATTCGAACTCAAAATCAACCAGAACACTCCTTTATAGACCATAACTCAAATCTATCAATTTGTACTCATAACTAACCAACTTAGGGGTTTGAACAAGTCCAAAATTACCCAAAAACATATTCCAAGCCCTCCACTTTGCCTTAGACCTTCTACTTCTAAAACTACTACTCAAAACCCCTAAAATGCATCTAAAACCAATTAAAACTTAACCAATTGGTACCACTTTATCCTAACTCCCATATCTACCAACTCACAACTCAAACAAGTTTCAAATGACTACAAAGCAAACCCTAAAGTTCAGTTCCCCTTCTTTGACTACTCCTACAAAATCTCACATCTCAAAACATACACTTAAGACAAAAAATAACCTATAATTGTTAGTTACTCATTTCTCCTCAATATTTCACCATGACCAATACCACCAACATCACAACAATAACATTCACAAGGTTAAATCCATTCTAACATGGAATCATATCAAGCCATTCCACAATCATATTGCCAATTAAATAATCAAAACACAATGTACATAGGGCGGATAACTCAATCATAATTAAATCATCCTATTATTCAAGTTACCACATATTATATTATAAAATTAGAATCTAAACTAGCTTCTCTTACCTTATCAGAAAGCCACCAAGTTCTACGTAGTGTTCTAACCTTACTTCGAGTCCAAGGAATCCTAAGAATGCCTACAAACCACTTAATTGTGATAGAAATAGTCCTTAGGACCTTTGATCAACAAAGAATTAGAAAAGAAAGATGGACGACACATGCAAAAATTTTTTAGTCGCATGTGCCTTAAACTACAAATTTAAGAAAAGGAGTAGAAATTTACTTGCTCTAAAAAGAAAAATGAACGAATAATGATAGAGATTATACTGTCGTGATCTACTAGACGCTTACTAATCGTTAAATAGATAATCTAGGGGTCAAAAATCGTAGAGAGAAAGAAAAGAGAACTCAGAAAAAAATTCTAGAGAGATAATGTGTGCTTTAGATAATAAGACAAATTTATGAATTTCTATTTATATTATTGAATTATTTTAACTTTTAAAATACTTGATCTTATTATTTTAAACACTTATTAACTATAATACTCTAAGTTATTACAGGAATAATTTTGTTACGTGATTATACATATGCTATTTATGAAACAAACTTAAGTAAATAGTAAAACATTCATTAATTAAGTGAATTAAAAGAAATATTGAAAACAATATGAAATATAGTGTGTTGCTATCGCTAGCATTTATCCTAAAAAAATAGCCATCCAACATCCATAATTTAACTTGCCTATTGGAGATTGCTCCCTATAATTACTAATTGCACCTCTATACTGATATAAAAAGACTAAATTACCATCACTGTACACACCATTGCTGTCACCACTGTCATTTCATCATCACCTACTGACGAGAAAAGAAGAACAAAGGAGAAAGAAGAACATAAGAAGAACGTTGCAGAGAAAAAGAAAGAGAGAAACTGTGAAAAAATGTTTGTTCCGGAAAACCCTTTCTAAAACACATTTGATGTAAAATATTTTAAATTTCGTTTTGAAAGATATTATATGTATCTTGGAAACTTGTTCTAGAAATTTCATATTTAAAAGCTTTTTTCTGAATGCATTTCATGCATTCCAGAAATTTTACAGATATTTTAAAAAAATTGTTCGAGATTTGTAACATATAATCTACAAATCATTTTTATAAAAAGTAAACTAGTCATTTCAAAAAGTTTAGGACTTGCGTGAAGAAATTTTGGGAGTACAGGAAGTTAAGCCATCCAACTTCTCCATTCCTCATTTTCTCACCTACCACATAAAAAATTTCGCACTTACATTCGTTAATATATAGATTTTGTTTTCTCTTTCCCGAAAAAATAAATGAAATTATTATTATATTTTTTCTTTTACTTGAGTAACCAAACTGACAAACTCAGTCCGCTTAAGCTTAGGTAAACATTAGTCTATCGGAAACAGGTCGGGTTAGTATGTCAATTATAAAAAGGATTGAATTTTACAACTTGGTTGGGTTTTCCCAAGCTGCAGGACAACCTCACTTGTTTTATTATTTTTTTTTTTCTGTAATCGAAAGTTTAATATCACATAGATATAACTTGAATTTTTTTTATTTTTTCCATGAAAATGGACTGATGACTCACTGTCGAGCTGAAAGGGATTACATTTAGGATGTTTCATACCTCGACAAAGTTATACCAGATCAGATCTCAATCGAGATGTCAAGTTGTGTTAATATAAAGTGTCACGACGTAAATTCTAATTTTTTAATGAAGCTAGACTCACAAAGTGGCCTGACTAACCCACAAAACTAGCTTGGCAGGCCTCGTTCAGGTTCGCGAGTTAAAAATATTATCCTAATCTGTCTTTTTTAGTCGGACTGACAGCTAACCCGTCTAACTTGATTCTTTATGCCATTTTTACTCTCACTTAACAAAATAAATTGTTTTATAATTTAATTTGATGAACAACTTAATCTCTCTTTATATATAAACATATCAAACTAAATATTATATTTTTGGTGGTATATTGATATGTTTTGGCGAGAAATGATGACTATTCTGACTCTATCATATTAGAGGAGCTATATTAATTATGTTCATGTACAATTTTATATAATCAGTTAAGGTTAAGTATTACTCATTTCAATTTGTATGAACTCATAGTTGAAGTAGTTGTAGTAGGTATCACATATGGGACTATATGTGGCAAATGTTATATTTTATATATAAAAAAGCATGAGCAGGCATCATTGACTTTATATGGGTTTATGTTTCAAATAACTTTTGTACTTAAAATAATCTAAATGAGATAGAGTTTGATAAGTGTTAAGTGAAGTATAATAACTTTAAAAGGCATCAAAAGGTTGTATTTGATAAGGTATACCAAGAAGCTAAAGGATAATGATGTATAGAAAACTAGAGAGGGAGGGTTTCAGTTATTTGTTTTTCTTTGTGAAAGATTCTCATTGAAAATCTAAAGGTCCCCTTTACCTCATTAGTAGTTGAAGCATCTAACATCAAGCATCTCCCTCAATCTTATCTTCTTTATTGAAAATTAAAAAAAGTGTTTTTCATTAAAGGAACACAAGGGCACTTTAACTCTTTCTTGTTAATCATTTTCCCCCTTTTTTGCTTTAAAAATTCTACACTAACATTTGGAAAATTAGATTTTCTATTAGATTTTATTGGTGTTTTTAAGAGTTTTGTATATTTTAGGTGTATAGTAAAATATGACAAAATATCAAATATTTTTAATAGTTAAGTATATTTTATTTTTATATAATAAATATATTTAAAATTGATTTTTTTTTTGTAAAAAATAATTTAGATAAAAATAATAATAAACAAATATTTTCAAAGTATTTAAATTTTTAGATCTATTATTCATACTATACTATTCAAATAAGTACTAATATTACCATAATACTATTCTTTCGAATTGATGAAGCTTAATCTATCTAAGCACCTTTTGCTAGCTATGTTAAAGGATGAAATTATTGCTAACATGATTGAAGATTTTCCAAAACTTGATCTTGGAAAGATTTTCCGAGATAACATTACCATGTTGGATTGCTAATTTATTTAGTAAAATAAACTTGTGTCTTTTTCCCCATATCTTCATTCTTGTCTAGCGTGAGATCCATTGCAAACTTCTAGTGGCATGCAATATTTAAAGACTGAAAATTCATTTCATAATTAAAAAAAAAAGCAAAAGAAAAAGGGAAAAAGAGTTGGAGGGTTAAGTTAAGGTGAATAGTTGTTTTAGGTTAGCTAATTGTCTCCTCAATGAATTAAGAAAGAAGAGAAGGACAATGTCACAGATATCAAAACCTTGGAATTGGTTGAAATAAGGTGAAGAAGAATCTATGAATAAAACATGTTAGAGGGAACAAAATGTCCTTGGTGACGTGAGAAGAGGGGTTCAACTTACCACAAACGCAGCACGCACGATAAGATATGTGCATGTTTTCTGAATCTTTTATATATTAATTATTATCAACAAAACATTATTGTTGTTATGTGTAGCCACATAGGTGAGAGTGTCAAGCATGGCTCTAATGATCTGTTTGTTTATAAAGGATCATTTTGGGGCCTCCATCTGGCACCCATTCATGCATTCACTACCAAACTTTCAACTGTTTGACTTAGCAAAATGTGATGGAAGAGTGAGGACAAAGACTTCCTACTAAGTATTATAATAACAACTCTCTTATTTCCCTTTTTTCCACTGTTGCTTTTATCTATGTTCTAGCCCTTTCCATGATTTACCAAACTAGGTGTTGACCCAAACCCATGGTTTTATGACCGTTTCAAGATGTAGAATTGTATGCAACAATATGTGCTAATTACTCTTTTTGCTCTAAAACAATTGAATGAATTATGTATTCTTGTGATGGGATTTATTTGATAAAGGTGTACGTTATGAGCAAATTCTAGAACTAAATAAAATTGTTGCCATTTTTTAGGGTATCATAGTGTTGGGTTTATCGACTATCGACTTTGATATTACTTTTCAGTTTATTACATGAGAGATACAAACACTAATAAAATATACATCCCATTATATAAGGGATTGACTGTAATCTCTGCGTAAAATTTTAAGCCAATGAATTAATGGATTTTTTTGACTTTATACAGTATTTTACTTTTTCATTTTTATCGATACGAGATTTTGACTCACAGTTACATTTCCAACGGGAGAAATGTAATGTTAGGACTCAGTTAATTTTATTTTATTTTATTGAGAAAACAAGATTATTAGTAGTGTGACTAAAACTAGATCAAATTGATTCTGTTTCAGACACATTTTTCAAACTGAGGCTTGACTCTTTCTGTAATGGAATGCCCAGAAAAGACATACGTTCATACACAGGGGCGGTTGGAAAGTAAAGGGTGATATATTGAATTTGAAGAGGATACCCTGTCTGCATCATGTCAAATTTTAAATATGCTTTCAAAAAGTTAAACAATTAACAAATCCCATGATGTGCATCTTCTATATTAATCCCACTTGCTTGCTCAAAAGTTAAGCACCTTTTTCAATCCTATGTGTGTGTGTATATTATATGTATATATATATATATTCTCACAGCTTGCAAACAATAACATGAAAATTAAGTAATAGCTAGCTTTCCATCAACATTGTGAGAGCTATAAACAACTTCTGGTCCTCTTGTCTTGTTTCTTGAAACATCTTCATCACAAGTTGTACCGTTCAAGTAGACCATTTTGTTTGATAATAGTATTTGTGATGGAAATTCAATTCCAACAACCAAACCTGCAGCATCAGAAATCAGGCATTGCGGTCACCAGAGGAGGAAAGTTGAAAGGGCGAAGCAGAAGCAACAACACCAACAAATTTGTTGGGGTGAGACAAAGGCCTTCGGGGAGATGGGTGGCTGAGATCAAAGACACAACTCAGAAGATAAGAATGTGGCTTGGCACATTTGAAACAGCTGAGGAAGCAGCCAGAGCCTATGATGAAGCTGCATGCCTTCTTCGTGGATCAAACACTCGCACCAACTTCATCACTCATGTGTCCTTGGATTCCCCTCTTGCTTCTCGAATTCGGAATCTTCTTAACAACAAAAAAGGGATAAAGAAACAGGAAGATGCTAATGTTATTGCTAATGCTAATAATGCAGCAGTTCCAAGAGTAAGCAGCACTGGCACTGCTAGTACTACTACCACTACTACTACTACTACAACTACTACTAGTACTCATTGTAATTCAAACAATGGCAATGGCAACAATGAGAAGTATCTTTCTACCATGACACCTCAAAGTTCAAATCTGTTTGATGATGCTTATAAACCAGATTTGAGCAATTGCAGGGAGGATTTTGGGTCAGGTCATCAATCCAATACTTCATGGGGTTTTGGACCTGTCTTTGATCGTTTTCCCATTGCTCAAATATTGGATGTACCGAAGATTGATGATTGTCTCACTGATGCAGCTGACTTGGAGCTTTGTGAATTTGAAAGAATGAAAGTTGAAAGACAGATATCAGCTTCACTCTATGCAATTAACGGGGTGCAAGAGTACATGGAAACTGTTCAGGACTCCAGTGAAACTCTCTGGGATCTTCCACCTTTATGCTCATTGTTCTGCTAAACTTGAAGGTCTAAAAGATCCTGCAATTGTTCCATCTGAATGTCAGTAGTCTTGTTTATTTTAATTTATTGAAAACACGAGGGAGGAGTGTGGATCTGAGCATTGATTGAAATATTACAATAACAATGGTGAGATATAATTTTGTTCTCAATGTGAGCAGGAAGATCAATGAGTTGCATTAGCCGCTTGTGAAAGCTCATTTTTAATTATATTATTGTGTAAAAAGTTTAAGCATTTAAGTTCTTCTTTTCACATCCTAAATGTCAAATTGAATCTTAAAGTTTTCATCAAAGTCTCCTTTCTAGGAATATGCAGTGTGAAAACCACACTTTAGAGGGCAAAGTAAGCAAATTAGAACCTTGGATCTTAGAGCCAAAATCAAAATGACTATTCACGTTGATTTACATGGGTAAACAGTAGAATCACATTAATTTCCTCTACACATGAAAGGGACAAGTACTATGTTTTCTTTGTTAGTAATTAATGGAAAATATGCTTCCGTATCTTCTCAGATTTTGGTCCAATTGCTTTTTCATAACTCATGCCTTTTGGTAATTTGCTTTGGCTATTCATTATTTACCCCAATCAATTATAGATACAGAATTTGTGTCATTCTCTTGTCCCAAACATTAGCGGGTGAACCATCATAGAAATGATTTAACTTCAGAAACTTTATTTTATAACTTTGGAGATTAAGTGATAGGACTGAAATCAAATTACAGATCACATCCAAGGATAAGGTAACATCTTACTTGGTCTTGTAGCCCCAGAATTCCCTTTTATTAGTACTCTACTCTGCTTTCTTCCATTTGGCTTGTGAAGACTCATTGAGACTTAGCAACCAAGAATAACACGCTAAAACAGCCAAGTAGATATTACCAATTGCTAAACTCTGAATTAATGGAAAAAGCTAGACAGTGATTTGTTTTTATCTAAGAGTATTTTATGTTGGTATAATGAGTTTCAAGAAGAGACAAACTCCATGTCATGTAATTGGTATAAAACAGATGAAAAATTCTAGACCAAAACTCGTCAGCATAAGAGACCAGCAAGGAATAAAGAACCAATCTTATAGGCATGCTTACAAGGAATAGTTCAGCAAATATTTACAAAAGAAAATGAATAGAAATATTTATTGATAAGGATAGGCTGGTGACATATTTATTTTGTTGAAGACGTCAAATTTAACACTACAGAACATGAGAGGAGACAAATCCCGTCTAAACCTGGTGGTCATAGGTCTGGTCATAGTCTCTTGAGTGAAAAAGAAATAGCTTGTGCGGAGCCTACAAAGGCATAGAAAAGTCAAGTTCTTTTTTACCAAACAAGTGACTTGGTAAATAACAAAGGCTTGTTTCATGCTACGTAACATCACTATTATAATATTCATGGCATGGTGGACTTCAAGTCTTCCACTCAATACAGATGGAGGGAACTTTTTTTCGTCACATTTCTCATTTTTCTCTTTAATCATGGAACAATATTTTCCACCAATGATGAATATCATTGAAGTGTAGAAGTGGAACCACAGATCTTGAAATTGTTTCCTTCCTCAAACAGTTGGTTTTGCAATACAGAATTTCTCCATATCAAGATAGTTTGTTTCTGGATTTACTGGGAGGTTGAGATTGGTGGAGTGAACACGAATATAGGTAATGCTATTGCATCATATTGCATTGAAGTAACTCATTGTATTAATAGAATTGCTAAAAGATGCTGGATGATTAGAAGATATTCTTATTTATGCTAGTGTTGTTATGTGTCTAACTAACTAACTACAGGAGAAAATCTCAACCACTGATAATGGTGTTCCGTGTAATACTTGTAACACCAATCACCATAAGCTGTGGTTTAGTATTGGCTAGTTAAGATGTCAATCACCATTTGAAAGTATTGATTTACATAATTATAGTTTATCAGTAAACTCTAATCCTAACTGACCTTCCACGGACAGAAAACACTGTATAGCCAATTTGTATCTGCAGTTCCTCGGTTTCTTTTGATATATTTTAAAAGCTGCAAAATATAAACATCTGGTTTATTTTAAATAATGGAAATTGCAGCGTTCCTATCCTGTCATTTACTTTCACTGAAACAGAAAATGCAAGTATTTCAGAATGGCAAATACATGGCTGCTGCTGGTGAGAAAAACAATGGTCTCACTCAACATTTCAATATGAAACAACAGTAAGAACAGAGCTAGTACACAACACAATGATGCTTAAAAAACAATGAACAAGGATAGACAGTATGATGAAGATTTCAATAACTCTCCTCAGCTTCTTCTTCTTCTCCTTCTGCTCCAACCTCTTCATAGTCCTTTTCAAGAGCAGCAAGATCTTCCCGGGCTTCAGAGAATTCACCTTCTTCCATCCCTTCACCCACATACCAGTGAACAAACGCCCTCTTAGCATACATGAGGTCAAATTTGTAATCAATGCGCGAGAAAACCTCAGCAACAGCTGTGTTGTTACTTATCATGCACACCGCTCGCTGCACCTTGGCAAGATCACCTCCTGGTACTACTGTTGGAGGCTGGTAGTTGATACCACACTTGAAACCAGTAGGGCACCTAAAATTTGCCACCAAAATCATCCTATAAGATTTTTGTTTCAAGAAAAATGAAAAACTCCAGAACATGTCTCAAAACTAGCTAACATTGGCTAAAAAGAACACATTCTAAACAATGGCATTCCAAGGAAGTATAATTACCAGTCAACAAACTGAACAGTTCTCTTTGCCTTGATATTTGAAACGGATGCATTTACATCTTTGGGAACGACGTCCCCGCGATACATCAGGCAGCATGCCATGTACTTGCCATGTCTTGGATCACACTTAGCCATCATACTTGATGGCTCAAAAACAGCACTGGTGATCTCAGGAACAGAAAGCTGTTCATGGTACGCCTTTGCAGCAGATATTACAGGGGCATAAGATGAAAGCATGAAATGGATACGGGGATATGGCACAAGATTAGTCTGGAACTCAGTAATGTCCACGTTAATTGCACCATCAAATCTTAAGGAAGTGGTCAAGGAAGAGATAATTTGAGATATCAAACGGTTCAGGTTAGTGTAAGTTGGCCTTTCTATATCCAATGATTTTCTGCAGATATCATATATTGCTTCATTGTCCAAAAGCACAACCACATCAGTGTGCTCAAGAAGAGAATGTGTGGAAAGGACACTGTTGTAAGGTTCAACAACTGCAGTAGATACCTGTATGATAAACAGTACTATCATCAGGGCTTCCACATGGATAATCAACAACAATATACCAAAAACAATTAATAAGCAAACTATAAAACACGAGTTAACGAACACAAGAAATCCCAAGAGAATGTAGAGCAACAAATGAAAAAGTATCTGTATATCTAGCAAATAAGCCTACTGGGTAGTTTTCTTTATGACATTGTTACATCGCGTATTAGAATATTAAAAAGTATAATAGAGAACATCCTACTACATTTTACTGCATTTGTTTCCAATTGAATTTGATTACTTAGGGTAGAAATATGTTCCTTACAGGAACACTGTCCTGAATCAAAGAATAGAAAATCAGCAAGACAAAAGGATGTTAACAAGTGTTTGATGATGCTTCACAAACAGATAATTTTACTTCCAAATTTTTTCAACGATTTTAAGAAAATACCTGAGGAGAAGGGTAGATGGTAAAACCAAGTTTAGATTTCTTTCCATAATCCACAGACAAACGTTCCAACAGTAATGATCCCAAACCAGAACCAGTACCACCACCAACCGCATTAAAAACCAAGAATCCTTGCAAACCAGTGCAATTGTCTGCTAATTTTCTGATACGATCAAGGCACAGTTCAACAATTTCTCTTCCAACTGCACCATAGGTACTCAATAAGTTGCATTATCCAGCTAAACAAGGCAGTGAATAATCAATTTTGTCCTGCATCAGAATTTGACTTACCAGTGTAGTGTCCCCTTGCAAAGTTATTGGCAGCATCTTCCTTGCCAGAAATTAATTGCTCAGGGTGAAATAGTTGTCTGTAATCACCACTTCTTACTTCATCAATAACACTAGGTTCCAGATCAACAAATAAAGCCCTTGGAACATGCTTGCCAGATCCAGTCTCGCTGAAGAAGGTGTTGAAAGCATCATGTGCAATCCCAACTGTGGTATCACTGCAAGAAGATAGACATGACAATTACTTGTACCAATGAAAAGGGAAAAATAATCTGAATGGATTCGTCAAAACAAAAATTAAGTTTCAGTTTCAGGGTAATGAGAAATTAGAAGCTTAGAAAGTGATCAAATTCATACAATATGTATTTGGCCCCCAAATAACACCCCAGCAAGACCTAACAACATCTCAACCAAATAATGGAAAACACAAATGGAAACAACATTAGCAAATTAAATTATAAAATTCCAAATTACATTTAAAATCTAACTGCAGATTGGAGTTGTAATGCGTTGATCCAAATTCAAGAGACAATCCTACTTGGCAGAGTGCTCTACATAATGGAATTTATGTAAAAGAAGGGATTCTCGTCTTCAGAAAAGGCAGTATTTATTCCTTTCCTTGTCACAGTTACAACAGTGTAATATAAACTGAGTCATTTTTGTATACTAAGATGTTTCACAACAGACATGCCATAAAAATGGAGGAAACGTAATAAAGAAATAAACATGACACGATCAAGCTTAACATTATGATTTAAACTACCAATAATCACTTTCGAAAACATGTGAAGTTTCTGGATTGCATCTAGCTGATCAAGTAGACCAAGTTGAAGATAGATCAAATTAAGCTTTCTGATATTCAAGGCAACAATTGAGTGAAAACGTACACCACAGTCAAAAGACCTAAAGGATCAACACTTTCATGAAGAGACAACCTACCCTATGCAGAATTCGTGTAAAGAACACATAAAACAGTAATGATCGTAGAAAACAGCGTACCTAGGCATCGTGCCATCAGGGTTAATTCCATGCTCAAGGCAATACAACTCCCAACATGAATTTCCCACCTGAATTCCAGCTTGTCCAATATGAATGCTAATGATCTCTCTCATCTTCTGTGTATTATCAGCTTCGCCGTGTGATGCAAACAAAAGTCACAAGGAGGAGCAAACTGGAAGGAGAGAAAGCAAAGAAGATTCCTTGATATTTGTTTTTATATCTTTAGAGTTAGAACAGCTGGACA